AAAGACACAAGACTCACATCATAAAATAGAAACATTTAATACAGTGTAATTATAACCAGATCCTAACAAGACTTTATTTCCTAAGCACTCAGGCACAAAACATTTCCAAATTTAATAGTTTTTCAGTTTAAATGGGAAAGTTTGAGCAAATATTTACAAAGAGATAACCCTCTTGGTTGGAAGTTCAATTAGTCATGTAGGAAATGCCTATTGGGACCGCTCTGTAATGGTGTTTCTTTTATGAAGAAAATGGCAAGGGTATGGATGTGAACTTTTAGAAGAAAGATCTACCTAGAGCTTTCTCTTTCTATCAAGATCATTTACCAAGTGAAGAAACAAAAGCAGCATTGCTATAAAATATTTACATCCCACAGATACGGGTGAAGGGTGAAAGGTGACTTTTAGTGTATGAATTTTGTAAGTTTGTCGAGTCTACCTTTCTAGGCATATAGATTTACTTAGACATTATTAAGCCTTAATTTTAGCCTAATTTTCATAATGATAGGATTCAAATTAAGATTTTTAATTCAATTTGATGTATCTTTCATACTATTATAATGTTTGTTATAATGTCACAATTTCAGTGCTGAGACTCTATCTCATTAGTACTTGGTAGCATATGTGAGCCCCGAGGTTCAATTCCAAGCACAACTAGATAAATAATGAATAAATAAATAATAAGTAAATAAAATTTAAAAATAAATTCATTAAGAATAATAGTGGGAAATCAACTATTTTCGTTTTTCAACTGGGGACTTACGGCGTGTATACTGTGGGAAAGTCAGAAAGGACTCGTGAAGATCCCTTGACTTTGATTCTGACTTTTAATCAGGATAGTAATATGAACTCACACACAGTTTTTAATCTATGCCATTTTCTCTATATTTTGAGTTAATATTAAATACTACATATATCACTGCTGTGAAAGCAGCTCATGCTTCAGTTATGAAGCAGAGCAACACAGGGCTGGAAGGTGTTGTGTGTCAGCTGAGTGAGCTTGCACATCCAAGCAGGAAGCAAGCATCTTGCTGTGCAATATTTCTCTGCATTACATTTTCTGTGTTTGTTTCAAAAGTATCATCAAGACATAAATGAGAAGCTCACACAGAATAGTTTGTGGAGAAATCATTAAGTATTTCTGGGAGAATCAGAACAGTGGGGGGAGGGGCAGTCTTGACAAACTAGGAAGATTTCAGTTTGGGATGCTAGAGCTTTGATGTTCTACACGGAAAATGAGGTATTCGATTTCATCTAACTTTGCCTTAAATTATTTTTCATCTAGATGTCTTTTCCTCATTTCTGTTGTATTGCTGAACAAAAGCCTCTTTAAAGATTTATTTAGACAGCTGCCTCCTTGCCAGAAACATGCTCACCTAGGGAGAGCTATGCATGTGTTAATGCACACCGGCCTTTATGAGAGAGTTCCTAGAAATAATTGTGTCAGCAATTTCTCTGTTACTTTTGACCTAAATAGGGCCCACACCTTTTCCCATACAGATAATTAGCTCTGCTGCTCCATGTCAGAATTATCTTTTCATCAGCATGAACTAATTTTATGTACTTCTGGCTGGCCTGGAACTCACAGAGATCTGCCTGCCTCTGCCTTCCAAGTGCTGGGATATACTTCTAAATATACCAAAATTTGTTGTATTGCCCAGAACATGATTAACCTTCCAGGTACATTTGGAAATACTCTTTTGCTTTTGCGGGGAGGTGTGCTCTATAAATATCAGTTTGAGCCACATGGCTGATAGTGTTGTTTTCAATAATCTTCTTGATTTTCTATATCTTTTTCAATTATTATTATTATTACTATTATTATTTTGATCTTTTTGAGACAGGGTCTCCCTGTAGCCCTAACTGGCCTGGATTCGCTATGGAGACCAGGCTGGCCTCAAACTCACAGAGATCTGCCTGCCTCTGCCTCCCGAGTGCTGGGATTAAAGGCGCGCACCACCACTACTGGACATAAATCATAAATGCCTTTTTAAATAAACATATACACATGCACATGTAGTAACACTTCTTTCAAATGAAATGCAGTATGTGTTTCAAATAACAGATGCAGGTATAAGTTTAATTTTGCCTAGTAGTGAACACATGATGAGAAAATTAGGATGACAATGAGATGAGCTACATACACATAATCCGTAGTTCAAGTCAAGGCTATGGGCCAGAGTAAAGATAATGACACACCTAGTTTCAGGAGACTAGGAAAGATGATTAAAACAAAACATACTGAAAGTCATGTAATGAAGCATACAGTCAGTTTCTGAATATGCTAAAAGTCTTGTGGAGTTTAAAAAATATGCCAGTTCCAACATATCCCATTCTAAAGGGTGACCATTGAATCATATCTGTTGAATCAGTGACTGTAAATGTGACTTCTGAGTTTTTTCTTTTAAAATTGCATCCATGTGTTTCTAATGTAGTCAGTCCAGAACCTTACAAACAGGATGTCTATTGCTGTGAAAATATCTGTTAGAAAAAATTGGAAGATAGAAATGTCAGGAAAAATTCAACAGATTTGTCAGTCAATTCCCTTTATGTTATCACACAGTAACAATTCCCAGGCCTTCCTGCTTTGTTACAGCACAGGTTAGGTTCCATTTCTATTAATTAGGCTGATGGTTCACCAGCATGGCTCTACCTCACATTGTATCCTCATTCTAAGATCATCCCCTAGTGAGGTATGATGTTCTTCTGAGATTAAAAGATTAGCCATGGCTAAAATACACAATGTCCTTAAAACTTTTACTCAGAATGCTAAATACACACACACACACACACACACACACACACACAGCTCTCTCTCTCTCTCTCTCTATATATATATATATGTAGATGTAGATGTATGTGTGTGTATTACAGTCTGTTAACTACAATGAGTTTTATAGCCCAGACTGATTTGACGTCAGTTGGGTAGAGAGCAGGGATATATTCTCCTCCAACAGAAAGGAGGTGCTACTGATATAACAATACCTAGGTGTACATGTTCATGATTCAAAACAGATCTTTGATTCACTGAGTTGGTTTTCTCAAGTATTTGATTGTAGCAATATGAATGTAACTAATATAGAATGGATTCTATATTAGTTCCTTTGGAATGGACTTGAAGGAGAAATATGGAAGAGTTTGAAACTAATGGCGAAAGAAGCCCTGGGATTCTTTAGAAAGAAGTTAACAGGCCTTTCTTGTTGGAAGTGAAGGACACCAGAAAGATAGCAGAAATACACACAGTAAAAATTGTGCTGATAAGGTTTCAAATGTGAATAAATGCCCTGTTTGGAATTGTACTAAAATCCATTAATGTTAGTTCCTAGTAAAAGAATCTAGCTGTGTTATGACCACACCCTGAAATTTTGAGTGACATTGAGTTCAGCAGTAGTGGACTACAAGAGAAAATTTCAAGACAGCACATAGCACTCAGCCTATGAAGCACAGTTATTGCTATCTGCTTTTAGCCAGTTTCATAATGGGAATCTCAAGCAAAACAGAGCACAAGGATTTGGAAAATATGCAGTTTGGCCAATAAAGGAGTATTAATAGGTTAAAGTCATGGTAAAACCATGTGCAGATAAAGCTATAGCTGTCAGAGTTATTAACACCATAAAAAGGAGCCCTGTATTTTACATCAGGACCTGTAAGGTGCCTTTAGGGCAAGACCTGACCCATACATGGAAGGCTTCAGGATGCAAAAATGCACATTTACTTGAAGGTCTTTCTTTAGAAAAGAGAGGTACTCAAAAAGAGAGGGCAAGCCAGGATGCCTTCTGGGAAACCACCATCTTGGGAAGTGTTCCCCTGGTTAAATCACGTTGGCACTTAGAGGCCAGCTGCAGCTGTGACTCAAGGGGCTCAGCTACTTGTCAAGCTGGCATCATAATTTGGCATATGAGTAGTTTTGAAGGCATACAGAATGAAAAAGTGATGGATTATGGAAGCTTGCACTGAAAATCTTGGGAAAAGTGTGGGAGGTTAGTCATTGCAGAGTAGGTTTAGATTCCCTTCCCAGAACTCTGAAATCAACTATGTGCACAGCTACGAAGGTAAAACCTATGTTTCAGTGATGACCCCAGAATGTTAGAGATGCCAGGAACATGGAGCATTGGTCAAAGAAAGCTGCTTACATCAGAGTAGAGCTAAGAGAGAAATGCAGGTACTACAAGTGAAAGTTCAGAGGAGTGAGGCTGCCCAAGCCTGTTGTACTGCACAGCATCACACCATGTGTCTCGGATGCAAAGAAGGAATTATTAGAT